CATAAGATCGGTCAACGTAAATGTAGGTGGTTTTGAATACACATATAAATCTAACTACTTTTTGACCATATATATTTGACTACACTTCGACCATATAAATCTGGCAACAATTCGACCTTATACATCTGACTACTTTTCGACCATGTAAACCTAACTACACTTTGACCATATAAATCTGACTACTTTTCGACCATATAAACCTGACTACACTTTGACCATATACATCTGACTACTTTTCGACCATATAAACCTGACTACACTTTGACCATATACATCTGACTACTTTTCGATCATATACATCTGACTACTTTTCGATCATATACATCTGACTACACTTCGACCTTATAAATCTGACTACACTTCGACCATATAAACCTGACTACACTTTGACCATATAAATCTGACTACACTTCGACCATATAAATCTGACTACACTTCGACCTTATAAATCTGACTGATCGTTTTTTATTTCTCTCAGCTGAAATAAACTAGCAAAACGTTATTAATATGTTAATTCCATATTGATAAGCGGTAGAAGAGCCTATGTTTATGTATGATAGTTAAAGGTGACAGTGCATGGACCTAAAAATGATAAAACATCGACTTTGTTCCGGTTAATACTTACATTGCACTGTTCATAAATTCACATATCTCCCTCAAGATCTTCAATTGATAACAAAAAAAAATGGCCAATATATAATAATATCTAATGGTCTCCCGTTTAATATAATTTATTTCACGAGTATGACAGAATATCTATATTTTTCACGTCAGATACTTTATGTAGTTGGCACGACGTTTGACAATACTGTCTAGTCTCCACGTCGCCTTAAACAATTTGACGCTGTTATCTGGCAGGAATCCCTTACAAGACTGTTTCTATATACTAATGTAGAGAAAACCAGAAATGTATACGAGGAGTATTTGATGGAAATCAGCTTATTCAACTTAGGCTTCGTCTGCCTCCGGACAGGAAAATCGGCGAATTTCAATGTAATTATTGGAAAGGACCGCTCTGGTTGGTCAAAAGTACGAAAGTTATATCATCAGTGGAAATGTCACGTCATCACCAGAAATCATATTGATAAATCGAGAAATTCCTAAATTTCACTGGTAAAAGAAAAAAGATGAATAAAATGATACAACAAAAATCGCATTCGGAGGGGACATTTTGAACTGAAATGTACGACAGTATGAAATATCTGTGTTGTAGACAAGGTGCTTCGCGAGTAATCAAAATCTGATATACATTTTTTTTATGAATTTGTGATAGACATCTTGTGCTTTATTTTACAGCTATACCCTTTGAAGCTTTATAGTACTGACATACACGAAGCCGTAAGAAATCAATCTAGAAATAATAAATTTTTAGTCGCAATTTTACTACATATCACTTGTACAAGGTCGTACGACTCTATGATATATACGTCATGAATACTTGATATGTACGTCATGAATATTGGATGAGTACGTCACGGTTATTTGAGGTAAACGTCATCGATATTTGATATACACGTCATGGTTCTATCCACATGTTGCATGGTGTGCTGGTTTATACTAATGTAACGTGTTATAGATTGATCAGGTACTGAGACAGGTAATCTAACCATCACAGGGGTAATGTAACTGTCAGTATAGGGTAATATAAATGTCAAACAGGAAATTACACAAAAGCTATCAACTGTTCCTTGTTTCAATAAATAAACTATAAAATCTCTGCGGGAGACAAATCTCGTCTACACACATCAGTCGAATGAGATTTGCGACACAACTGATTTATTTCAAAGATAATCGATCGTCTATATAAAAAAAGTACACGAGATATAGTGACCGAGTTGGATAAGACAATTGATTACAAATGTACACCTGTAATTTTGTCAGGTTCATAGCAAACCTTAGTATTTCAACGTTCGAATATATTCAACTTAGTCTGATGAAAAATTAAAGTTAACTTAAAAATAAAAACTAATTTTCTGAGGCACAATAGGGGAAATAGGGAAATATCTTAAGGATTCCTCTGTTGTTCGAATGACAGGATTTCCCCCCAATTTAATCTGAAGTATCTTTGGATGATTGAGATCCGACACCCTAGGGACACAGAAGAGGGAAATTAGTGGAAATGCGTTAAAAATTCACCTTCTTCTGTTGGGATTCAGGTAAATTTGGTCACCAACATCCTTCTGGGAGAGAGTATCCTTTTGAAGAAATGGAAATACATTTGTACTAATGGTGAATCTGGGTCAACCGGACCTGAGGATCCAGGCCAAGAAGTAGAATATATCATTTTTTTAATTGCTTTTCCCTGCAGAAAATACTACAATGATGAATAACAAAACCAAATATATGATAAACAAACACAAAATTAAGATGTCTTGACTTCAGTGGAATGCTTTAAACTAAACAAAGTTATAAGATACGCTTCTCCAGAAAAAAAAAAAACTTCTTTAAGGGTTTCACAAAATTTGACATCAGTCGTTTTGTCTGTCTTTGCCTCGAGTCGATCTGTCTAGTACAGTGTAATATGTAAAACACAATGAACACGATTTTACCTTACAAACAACTATGAAAGTTATCCCCGAAGACGTACACAGCCCATGAGTTATTATAATTCCATATTATTAGTACTATATTAACACAAGCTAAAGGGAGGTGGGAAAACATAGAATGCTATAATAATGTAGCTCTAATAAATAGCAATATGTCGCCCTGTTAGAGACAATTTCAGTTCGCTTTGTAGCTCGATCGGTTTAGCGGGAGACTAGTAAACCAGCGGTTCGGGGTTCGATCCGTAGCGGAAGGCGTTGAAATCAAGAATGACCTCCGTTATAACAACGCCTTGCTCTATGTGATAAGCTTGTCTAACACATACATTAAAGATGCTAATTAAAGTTAATGTTAGGAAACTAATAATACAGGTAAGAATTGTATCACGAGGTCTAGTACGGAACAATGTCGTACAGGCCTAGTGATAGTTTCCTTGTATTCTCAACATTTCAAATAATGCTTCACCTTGACGGAACACCTATTTAAGCTTATCGCCATGGCGACAGGTCAACTTGGACTCGGAGTCACCGAATCTAAATATAGAACTTGTACGTCATGAAAGTGGTGTATCCACAGCGTATTTTTTTTGCGATATCACGACTAATGCTTGGTGTATAACAAGAAAACAACAACAACAACAACAACAAACAAAAACAAAACAAAAGATTAATTCTAAGGCAGGATTACAGGTGCATGTTGTGTACGACATTAAGATTAAAGGTAGGAGGTGTATATATACTTAATTGAATAAATTATTCGGAAATTTGTATTAAATTGAGATGTCAGATATTCATGTGACAGCTAATTAGTCACACAAGTATCATTTACTACCACTTTGTGAGAGATTTACAGTAATTTGTCGATATGAGGCCTAGAAATCACCATTAGTACTACTTACCTACTCGACATGAAATGAAAGTAATTTTATCTTCACCTTGTAAACCAAAATAAACAGTAACTTATTAGTGATTAAATTAGTCAATTGTTTATCTTCTGTATCGTTACATTATTAATATGTATGATCTAGAAACAGGTAAACACTCAAACTTGTTTGATATAAAATAGTAGATTTTTGTTCTTAAAGACTGTTTCCTCTTTATTGCAAACATGTAGTAATTTGTACTGCCGATCCTCTAAGATTGGCTCTCCCGAAGGTTCGTACTGCTGTGAGAGTGGTGTGACAACACCTTACCGTCATACAACAGCTTTTTTGATTGGACGCTTCTGGTGTGGCAGTTGTATTCTAACAACGGGAGTTGCTGCTGAGTATGTTACAACTCATCGGATAACCATTGCTAGTAATGGTAGTGTTTTTATTGAAAATCCCATAAGTGGGAAGAATGAGAGAATGAAAAAAACTAGATCGAATGGGGAGATGAGGGATGAAAGTTTGATAGAGAGGTTGTAGGGTTTGGAATAGAAAATTATAACCATAAAAATACAACACTTACTGTACGGCCTATTTAACGTACATTTGAGGCTAAATATCGACCACCACCTCAGGCATACCATTGTATCGAGATAATTTGTACAGAGGGTGTACTAATAACTTACAGGTTAATAGTATCCTGGAGCAAACAATTAGAATAAGATACAGTAGACACAAATTATAAATTAAACAAGAAATGGTTTATCTACGAATTATGGATTTACGGGAAGTATGAGATGTAAACAACATATCGTTATTGGAATTCTGGAAGTAAAGTTGAATGTTTTCTGTAGTTACTGGTCGTCTCGTTCTGTTAGGGTGTGTCAGGCTAGGTCCAAATCAATAAAATGATCATCTACGACATGCCAGAAATATCCCGGAAACAAATAATGGGAAAAAATAGGATTAAAATCTCGTTATCATGTCCTGATGTACTTCACGAACCCCTCTCCACGTCACTATGGTGACCGTGTACTTACAAAGTACACCCCAGATCCCAGCTGGCGGCTTCGGTGATATTTCTTTCTTGACGAGAATTTTCATGATTGTTGCTAAATAATGATGTGTGATATCTGAAAGGTGGTGTAATTTATTGTTATAGTTTTTGTCGACGTAATTTTATAAACAATATTTGATGCTATGACAATGTGATACAGATGATGATAAAATCATTTTAATGGCACCGAATGCAATTATCAGCGAATTTGTTCATCGATTACCGATTCCAATCACTGTAAAGAATATGACGTCATTGTGACGTCATCAAGTGATTTTAAAGCGAGTTTGCAAATCATATCACCAGTTTCTTTTTGAAAATGTTACTACGGTCAGTGAATATATTTTGCTTTAGATCAAGATGCTGTCCACCTACTTAGCTCTAAAACCAAACAGACTCTTTTTTAGATTTTTTTTTAAACGTATTCTATTTTTCTTATAACAAAAAGGATAAGGCACAAGTTATCACAACTTATAAACGCCTTCTCCAAAATATTTCATTATACAAGTTACATAACAGCAATAACAGTTTTTAATCAAATATACAGTTATATGAATAAAGAAAGATAGGCGGAAAAGGATGGAAGGAAGGAAGACAGGAAGGAAGGAAGACAGGAAGACAGGAAGGAAGGAAGGAAGACAGGAAGGAAGGAAGGAAGGAAGACAGGAAGACAGGAAGGAAGGAAGGAAGACAGGAAGACAGGAAGGAAGGAAGGAAGACAGGAAGACAGGAAGGAAGGAAGGAAGACAGGAAGGAAGGAAGGAAGGAAGGAAGGAAGGAAGGAAGACAGGAAGACAGGAAGGAAGGAAGGAAGACAGGAAGACAGGAAGGAAGGAAGGAAGGAAGGAAGACAGGAAGGAAGGAAGGAAGACAGGAAGACAGGAAGGAAGGAAGGAAGGAAGATAGGAAGGAAGACAGGAAGACAGGAAGGAAGGAAGATAGGAAGGAAGGAAGGAAGGAAGATAGGAAGGAAGGAAGGAAGACATAAAGGAAGGAAGGAAGGAAGATAGGAAGGAAGACAGGAAGACAGGAAGGAAGGAAGGAAGACAGGAAGGAAGACAGGAAGGAAGGAAGACAGGAAGGAAGGAAGATAGGAAGGAAGACAGGAAGACAGGAAGGAAGGAAGATAGGAAGGAAGACAGGAAGGAAGGAAGGAAGGAAGACAGGAAGGAAGACAGGAAGACAGGAAGACAGGAAGGAAGGAAGGAAGACAGGAAGGAAGGAAGGAAGACAGGAAGACAGGAAGGAAGGAAGGAAGACAGGAAGGAAGGAAGGAAGACAGGAAGGAAGGAAGGAAGATAGGAAGGAAGGAAGACAGGAAGGAAGACAGGAAGGAAGGAAGGAAGACAGGAAGGAAGGAAGGAAGGAAGATAGGAAGGAAGGAGGGAAGGAAGACAAAGGAAGGAAGGAAGGAAGACAGGAAGGAAAGAAGAAAGACAGGAAGGATGACAGGAAGGAAGGAAGGAAGACATAAAGGAAGGAAGGAAGGAAGACATAAAGGAAGGAAGGAAGGAAGACAGGAAGGAAAGAAGGAAGGAAGGAAGGAAGGAAGACATAAAGGAAGGAAGGAAGACAGGAAGGAAGGAAGGAAGGAAGGAAGGTAGGAAGACATAAAGGAAGGAAGGAAGACACAAAGGAAGGAAGGAAGACAGGAAGGAAGGAAGGAAGACATAAAGGAAGGAAGGAAGACAGGAAGGAAGGAAGACATAAAGGAAGGAAGGAAGACAGGAAGGAAAGAAGGAAGGAAGGAAGACAGGAAGGAAGGAAGGAAGACAGGAAGGAAGGAAGGAAGGATAATGGCGTAGGAAATATATATGTAATGACATAATATATAAATATGCTGCTAACCTTAAACTCTTTTACTATTTTTAATGTATGTTTGAACTAAAAGAAAAAAACATTTTCATTATCTTCATCAGACAGGTTTGAGGAACTAGAAAGAATAACATCAATAGAAACATTACAGTAACGTGAGAGATCATCTATCATAACTTGTCTTTTTGGTGTATACAGTATACAATCACACAAGTAATGAATTACATTTTCACACCCATTGACACACACGTAAGTTGGATCGTTCACAATATTTACTCTATACAAATCATACTTTAAACTACTACATCAATGATGCCATCGCGTATGTAAATTTTTTAGAGAACGATTTTCAACATCAAAAAAGATTCTGTTTTCCCCGTCTCCTGGTGTTTTACTACACCTCGTAAATGCCAAACATGTTCAAATTGCGTTCAATATGAGCTAACTCCGATCTTGATTTGCCAGGGTTTGATAAAAACGGTCAGCACAACAAAACTATAACATATCTATTACATGTTTTCGCTATAACAATATCAATATTTTTTTCAATGGTGTCGTGAGCTGTGCTGTGTTAAGTGAAATTCACATAGTCACGCTGTCGTTGAAGCAACGATGTCGTTTTCAAATCTTAATAAACTTGCCTTATTTAAAAAAAAAAAACAACAGAACAAAATAGAATAAATGAAATAAATCTGATCTTTTTAACGAATTCATTTTAAAGAAATGTCAAACGTGCCTTTGATTCCTCTCCCAAGAAACTCCTGTCTCTTTACGTCGCTTGTCTCTGTGACACGTGTACAACTGAAGGAATTCAACATCGATGTAAAAACCGTCTGTCCATTAAAGCCACTAATGTATAGATAGACTGTATTTGTTTTGTAAGACTGAAATATACCGTACCATTAAATAGTCGATCCGATTTACATCAAAGTTATTCTTAAATGTAAATCATTGAGACATGGAGTGTTTACCATTGTGTGGTTGAAGCCTTTCTTTCTATTGGTAGAATAGAACTCAGATATATCATTGGAATATGTGCAAAGTAATCCCCAGGTATTTACATGTCTAATCCATTTCCGCTCCTCGTGAACGGGACGTGAACTCACCTCTATCCTGTGTATTCGACCGTCAGGTTACATTAACATTCCCCGTCAATAAATTCACACAAGATATGTCTTGGAATAGTTGGAAACCTCTTATTTCTAGAATATCTTAAAATCAGTCATGCTTAAAAATAGTCGTGCTTCAACGATTGGCGGTGCGATTTTTTGTAGAAAATTTCGGTCGTCTGCAAAATCAGGGACATTTCATGGCCATACAAGGGCGTTCGACCACATTTCGTAACCGTGAGGTACCATGTAAGGCAGGAGAATAGTGACGTCACGATTTCCCTTAAATATGATTAAAGATCGATAACAACACAAGTAAAAAATTCAAAATCGCAAAAAAAGAAAAAAAAAACAAAACAAAACAAAACAAAAAACACCGAAATGTCAACAGAATCTTCATTTAGACTAAAATTCAATAAAAACGGACAAATTAAACTCGTGGAAACGTGGAAAAGAAGTACCATGAAAAAAAGACCAGGTGTTTCGCAAGGATAAGATTAGATTTTCATAAAGTTTACTGAGAAGAGTACAAGGAGATTGAGGTTAAGGCCTGAATATGTTTCCTAACGGTTAACTCATGGCGTTATATAACGATCTGTCCTGTTGGTGATGCCATGGAAATGTGTGAAGAGTTTGGTCATTCCTTCTTCGTGACGAAGGTCTCTTATACAAAAATATCACATTACCCAATTAGTAAGTTTGCAGTCACAATACATTTCTAAACCTTAATTACTAGTTCCATAAATAAATCGTCTCTAACGACGTCTTTCAGTTATGATGTTATTTCCGAAGAAATAAAAAAGTCCACAGTTCTATTCACGCCAATTAATTAAGTCTGTGTACATCCGCTGGTTAATAGAATATGATGAACACGTGAATCTCTGGCGAATGGTGACATCGGTACAATACTGAACTACATATATACTTGTGTTCTTCAAGCAGTGGGAAACTGTTTCTTTCTAATATTCAGGCCAATATCTCCTTAATCCATTCAATAAGCTATTTTCTAGTTAATTTATAAATGTCTATAGACAGTTCATTCGTACCAGGAGCCATATGTCTAACTTGATACAGATAGAACTAGAACTGTAAGACAATTGCCTCCAGTGACTGAGGCCACCAAACGTTTTGTTTATAAAGGAATGCACGTTTACACATTGTACCTAACATTTATGTAAAAATGAAACTGAAACATAAGTTCAGAAGAACTTGTCTAGACACATTTTTTTTAACAAAATCCTATCTATATTTACTGGTTACCGTATCAACCAATATTTTGTTGGAAAAAAAATGTTGCATTCACATGTACACATGGTCTCCAACATTCCTGTGTAGTTTCATTGAAGTCGATCCTGTAATTTAGTTGTCCGGACATATTTTTTCTACGGAAAGACGGACAGACAAGCTGATATCAATATACTCCTTAACTTCATTGCGGGAGGAGGAAGAGAGGGACCGGGGGAAGGGGGAAGGGGCGTTAAAAATCTGCGAGTGGGCAGCAGCATGTAATTAATTGAACTGATTACCGTTCGTTATTACGATTGTTATCAGCAATGTGTTAATTAATCCAGTGTTCTCAGCAGACTGAACGTCTCGTCAGGTTTTTTATTTCTTCTTAAAGAGAAACAAGATTAGTCGTAGGACTATTTACAGAAATACTTCTATTCTCCCGAGGAATCAACACGAAATCTCAATCACATTGTAGCGATAGGCAGAAGTAAGGAATCACGTGGTACAGCTTGAAATGTTCCGGCTTTCCGGGACATATTTCACGTAATCAATTAGGAATTTATAGAGCCATTCAAAGAATATTTGACAAAATTTAAGTAAAATTATTATAATTCAGCACTGCTGTACACACACCAAGTGAAATGTACTGTGACACTTACCAGCTGTATCGTTCATGAATTCAGTGACGTTCACTTCCGGATCCTGAATGACGGTATAATTCATTGTCGTTTTCTTTGTTAGAAGCGCTCTGTAAACAAAAACAAAATTGTTTTATTCATATATGCATATAGTATATAGCGAGAAGGCAGTTAAAACCTTACCAATAATCGGAAGTTTTATTACCGTCACTTAACGTGTAACTGTTTTTGTTTATATCAGGTTTACATCCTCGGCGAAGTTATTGTTATATGAATGCCATTGGGTCATGTGTTTATACAGCAGTAAGGTTAAAATATGGCTTTCATTTTAAAAGGACAAAATGGTTAGATTTTCACTTCATAACTGATAAAAAGCATTATAACGTTTAAATATCTGTTAAAATTGTGTACTTTCTGTTAATTATAATATTTTAAAGTTTGCATCACCATTTTACTAAAAATATCAAAAAATAAAAATAGGAGCGACCCAAGATTAATTCAGATCATTATCGTTCGGAGAGTTGCGCGTGCAAATTAGAAATCATAACAAAACGGCGGGTTAACATGAGGTTCCGAAAGGTCACGTGATGGACTCGGCTATCACAGATCAAAACACCGAGGGCGTAAATTTGAATTGATAATCTTTAACAATTTTTTCTTAAAAAGTGTTATAACTTTGTGAATAGTCTTACTTAAAGTATTACAATGCTCGCTCAAAATCAAGCGCACAGAAAAAATAACGAAATCTAACCATCTAACTCGATAAATATCTGATCGCGGGAGGATGCTAGGCGGATGTAACAGCTTCCACGTGGGATTAATTTTACACTGAATGTTTTCAATTGAAAACGTCCAGATCATAAACAATAAGAACAGTTTTGATGGAAGCCTGACATTCTCTGTCACAATCTTTACTAGCTACTGAAATGTTCACCAACTGGCTGGGCTCGCTTTAGACTTATAAAATACATACCGCAACAAGGTGGTCAGTTATCACTGCCAGCAGAAATACTATGTCCACCTGACATTTTGTAATGGGGGACACAAGCTACCAACCGGGAAATACTTTTAATATTCTCACAAAGTGTTAGTTCCTTCCCATATAACCTCAACAACTTCAAGTCAAATCCGTTTACAGTCGTAAGTGAGGTCTCCTAACGCGCCAACAGGATAAGGCTCTTTTTATTGAAAATGACATTTGGGCTATTATGGAATATAGAATTGAAACTTAACCTGGTTTATATAATATTCAGTCACAAAGTCAGTACAATTTCCAGTCAATGTTTTTTTCCTCGCCTTGAAGGCCATGTTCTTCAAAAACGTCAAAAAACTCAAGGTCGAATATCGGCTCTCGGATATCTTACGTCAAGGCTCGACTGTCGGATATCTTACGACAAGGCTCGGTTCTCGGATATCTTACGTCAAGGCTCTGCTCTCGGCTATCTTACGACAAGGGTCGGCTCTCGGATATCTTACGACAAGGATCGGCTCTCGGCTATCTTACGACAAGGGTCGGCTCTCGGATATCTTACGACAAGGGT